CCCGCCCCGCCCCGCCACGTCCCGCCACGCCGGTCACCAGGGCCGGTAGGAGGGCTGCAAGCTTATCCGCCGCCCCGAGTCCGGCTGGAAACCGCCTTGATTTCACCCTCTGCAGGTCCAGAAGGAGCCACACGATGATCCTGACAGGCGACTCTGACAAGCGCCTGATAGGTAGGCAACATCTCTGCCTGCAGTGCATGCCCGTATTGCGGGGTGGCCTACTCTGCGTCTCACAGGCGCCTGGCTTCCCTAAATTGACGCATAAATCTTAGAAAAGAACTTCGTGCGAAACTGCGAAACCCTCTGCTCATGCAGAAAACTGAATAATATATCCTAATGTAAATAAAGTAGTAAACATTTTAATTTAAAAAGTTCAGTAGGTAATGCGTGTGGAAATTTCAGTCGTCCTTGGTTTTGTGTAGTGCACATAAGTTATCCGAGGATATATAATTAAGTTTTCTTCATCTGGGGGTTTCTCAGTTTACACGAAGTGTTACCGTTCCTTTATGATATTTTATAATGCATTTCGTAAAAAAAAAACCTAAAACGTTAAAGAGGCTTAGAAAATGTTTATCTTGCTTGTACACGCCCCTAAAGAAAATAAAATTTAAAAAATACAAGAAAAAAAGGGCTCTACCCCACCCTCCATCCCGGAGGTCCCCGCGCGGTAAACTTTGAAGTTCGGATGGGATCTGGTGCTTGTTCGCTTCAACGGATAGGGGGTTGCTGGACTTACAGATGTCGCAAGGTGAGCAAGACTTAAACCCGGATTCTGCAAGTTTCTGCACAACAAAATGCATAAGGGTTTGGTGTGCCCATCGTTACACCACCCACTCCGCCGTAGTGTCCACGCACCTTGTATGAATGCCCGGAAGATAGAATTTAAGAACTTATTGTCAATGTTATAAAAGTGTTTTAGAGTTGAAGAAAACTTGGAATGTTTCGTATCTATTGGTATAATTATTTTCCGCGAGCAGATAACTGCCCTGAGTCACCCTCTCGCTCGGGTCGGCGCCGCTGCTGCTGTTTGCCGCTGCCACTACCGCTGCCGCCGCTGCTGCTGCCGCTGCACCGCTCGGCCTCGGCACGCCTATCCCGCCGCCGCGGGTTTACAGCTGCCTTTCGCTAACCCCTTTCCCCCCGCGACGCACAAGGGAAGAAGAAGAAAGAGGCGGGAACGGATCCCGTCTCTGTCGCACCGCCTAGGGCTGGGGGCGCGGGCGCACGCGATGGAGAGAGAGGGACAGAGCGAGAGAGAGAGAGAGAGAGAGAGAGAGAGAGAGAGAGAGAGAGAGAGAGAGAGAGAGAGAGAGAGAGAGAGAGATATAGTGTGTGTGTGTGTTTGTGTGCGCGTACGCGGGCTTGGGACGCCCCCCCCCCTTTCCCCGTGCCGAGTGATTGATGGCAGGGCGAAGTGGTGGGAGGGGCGGGGGCGGGGGAGGTCGCGAAAGAGAAGAAGAAGGGGTTAGAGGAAGGAGGCCCCCAAGCCGTTGGAAAAAAAAAGACACACGCGGGAGAGCATCCCCCGATCTGGGCAGAACAGGACGAGGAACACGAGGACAAAACGACGGCAAAGTACACGTGGCTTGATGTCACGTTACATGCGAACCTCCCCTACTCCCCTAGTACTCCTCTTCCCCAACCTTACCCTTCCCGTCCCCACTCGGCCCGGCTTCCATCGAGTTCCATGAGAGCCGAGCTAGGAGATGAAGGGGTAAGGGTAGACCAGACCGATTTAAAAAAAAATGGGTGAGAGAAAAAAATATTTAAAAAAAAAAGTATCATCTGCGCGTCGTCGCCATCATGCCTCGTCATGCGCCGCTCTGCATGGCGGGGCGGAAGCGAGGAAGGGCGAAAAATATCTGCAGGGACTCGAAGCCCCGCCCCGCCCACCGCACGAGTGTCCCGGGCAAAAAAAGAGGAAATACGGAATAAAAAGGGGGAAGAGACGGAGAGAAGAGCTTTATACCAGGGAAATCAAGAGAGAGAGAGAGAGAGAGAGAGAGAGAGAGAAAAAAAAGGGGGAACCGCGGATGAGAAATGCGTTCCGGGAGTCCATTATCACTTGGCTGATACGACAACCTCCCCCTCCACAAGCTGGCACGCGCCTCTCGCTGGGGCGGGGCGCGCGGGGGCGCGAGGGCGGAGGAGGAGGAGGAGGAGGAGGAGAAGAAGATGAAGAAGGCGAGCGGCCCGCCACAACGACGTAGCTCTCGCCGTAATCGCGATGGTCGACCCCAGTCGGTGGAAGTAATGGTCATCGGTCAGTGGTTCCGTGTGCGGCTCGGCTCCGCTCGGCTCCGCTCGGCTCCGCTCGGCTCGCTCCCACGGTCATCCCCCCACACACTTGCCAGAGAAACGAAAACGATTGCACGTTGTGAATTACATTGAGAAAGGTCCATACTGGGCTTACGGCCTCCGCAGTCGTAGTCATGCCAAGTAAAACTCCCGATGGTGGGGGACGCGTGAAAAATCCCGCGGGTAAGATTTGCTCGGGGCTATTGGAACCGTTGAATGAAACTTGTAAACATTTGGCTGAAGAGCCTCCCCTCCTTGCAACGATACTTTCGAGTTAATAATCATGAACACTGGACAAATACAGGTGTTAAGGTGCAGGCACCAGAGGTTTAGTGCACTAAAACTGGCAAAGGCACGACTAATCCTTTGCACCTTTAAAAGAAAGTGCTCTTTGGTGCATTTAGAGGCAGTAAACTGAAAAATTCTTTAGCACCCCTGGAAAGGCACGACTTGGCACCTTTGTTTTTTTCCAGTGAAGGCTAAGGAAATATCAAGGAGGCTGGGAGTGGAATCGTGTGGGAAAATCCCCGACTCATCTTTACCGGTGCCCCGCAGTAGATCTGATGAAAGCCGACCCCTTTCCCTGGGTTGTATCCAGTTACCTGCATCCTACATCCTACATCTATGTTGCCAGATGTTGCAGTTGTCGTTTGTTTTGGTCAGAAATCGCCCAGTTCGGTGAGCGGGGAGAGGTTATGTGACAACAACACTCCCGTAAACGCCCCGCGACGGCCCCGCGAGGTCGCGAGAGCCGCGAAAACCGCGTGAGGACCTGCACCGCGGCCTGTCCTGTCGCGAGGACCTCGCGAGTCACCCCCGCGAGGATCTCCCGTCAGCGCTTGCGAGTCACCCCTCGCGTCCTACCCCCGCGACTTCGCGGGTTACTCCTTCGCGAGTCACCCTCGCGAACTCGCAATCTCCCTCTAGAATAATTTTCGCGACCTCGCGGGGCCGTCGCGGGGCATTTACGGGCGTGTCATTGTCACATAACCTCTCCCCGCTCACCGAACTGGGCGATTTCAAACCAAAACAAACGACAACTGCAACATCTGGCAACATAGATGTAGGATGTAGGATGCATGTTACTGGATAGGCCCCTGTTGCCTCGCGGTGCGACGGTCTTGTGCTTGAGGGACGGTCCCACGGTCCCCTTCCAAGGCCGGCCGCGTCTCCTCGCACATCGCCGTGGTAGTGTTGGGGCAGTGTTCTGATTCCGGAACGAGCCGAGCCCGCGCTCCGCTCCGCCCTTCTCCAACCCTGCCTCACCCCGCCCCACCCCACCCCACCGCGGTGTTCGCACGGCGGGGTGCATGGTGGCCGAGGACTTCCCCGCCGCTGCGCCCCGGCCGCTGCGAACGACGCAACGGATTCGTTGATAGTAGCAGTGGGCAGTGGAATGCGACAGCAAACGTCTTTCGAAAGAAAGAAAAATTGCAATCAATTCGAGAATTACCAAACTATTTGTGTTTGCGGCCCGCAAGCCACTGTCGCGCGCGTTGCTTCGCGTTGGTCACCCGACCCCTGTCCTCCCCGTCCTCCCGCTCCACTAACGCCTCGGCACTGTGCCTCTGCGTCTGTTTCAGCACGCCGGTGGCGCGTGGGTATCGCGGCGGAGGGAGATGGGTCCGATAGGCCGACCCGGCCGCCGCGCGCCGCCGAGAGATGCACAAGAAGACCGAGGAGGAAGAGGAGGATGGGACCGCCTCCTGCTCAGACCCCGCGGCCACGCGCACCCTCCAGGACTGCGTCATCATCGTCATCGAGGACAACCGTGAGCACCCCGCGCACCATGAGCTTCAAAGTCGACAAGGGTCTCTGCGGGTCATGTGTGGGCTAGGGGGTGGGCAGTGGGCAGCAGTGGGGCAAAAGGTTTCGAGCGAATGTTTTGTGTTTTGAGTTTAGACGGACTATGGCGCGCTGACGTCGCGACAGTCGGGCCAACCTGGATGAAAGTCTGGTCAGAGGCGCGGGGGGCAGGCAAGGCAGCCATGCCGCGCATGGTTAGATCTTTCTATCTTTTTATATCATTTGTTGTAATGATCTTGTCTCGGTAAATGATTTTGAAAAAGGAAGGGGTTGTGAATGTCGTGTGTTGACAGTTATATCGTGGCAGCAGTGAGAGCCTCGTCAGTGCATTTCGTCAGCTGATTTCCATTTGCTTGTCATTTAAGGCCCTTTAACATTTATTTCTGACGCCGGCGATATTTTTTTAATTATGTCGGGTAAAATCATTTTCAATAAAACTTTACCTTCCATGCGCTGTATTCTTGCAATGCTATTCAGAACCTCTGGGTCGTTTTGCCATGTCTGTGGCATTACGATGTTGGGAGACATAACCTCCAAAAATGTGTTCTGCTATTCTTAGTTTCCCAAATTTCACCATAATTTAAGGGAGCGCATTAGAATTGAATCTCTGACATATGTTCATTTGTTTGAAAAGTTTCAAGGAATTTTTCATTTCATTTGAAGGAAACTAATTTACTATAATTGTTTTCTACAATTTATTACAGCCTCTACGAAGTCACTTCAAAAGTCAGCAGCAGCAAAAGATATTTCAGAACCTGCCATGAATACACAAAACAGTCTTTTTACCATTGCTGCGATTTTCCTCGTCTCACTTCTTGGATTGGCTTACGTCTACTTCTCGTTCCCAAAGTTGGAAGAGTAAGAAATTATTTCCGTCAAGAAGTTCAAGTATGCAAAATCTTTTCAGCTATTAAAACTTTATTTTTCTTTCAGGCATGAAAAACAACATGTTAAACTGCCCTGGGATATTGAAGATGCCAAAGAGCTGGGTCAAGTTTTGGATCGGTACAAGGATAGATACTTCACTGAAGTTATGGGTGGAATCTTCATCACATACATTTTGTATCCTTCCATGTGCTTTTATGACCGAAGCAAAAATAGTATTTTCAATGTGACATTGTGATCTTGATTTAACTGGTATGACTAAATATTTAGTCAGTGATAGTTACCACCACAACATTATTTTGACAGTTGATTTTCCCTGGAAGTATTAGTGAAGTTCTACTTTCAATTTTCCTTAACTTTATTTCAGTCTCCAAACTTTTGCAATCCCTGGATCCATCTTTCTCTCAATTTTGTGTGGTTTCCTCTTTCCATTTCCTATTGCTCTTCTTTTGGTGTGCTTCTGCTCAGCAACAGGAGCTTCCCTCTGTTTCCTGCTCAGTTCCCTTGTCGGTCGAAGGGTTGTGTACAAGTACTGGCCAGAGAAAGCCTCGCAATGGGCTGCAACGGTAATATTTTCCCTTGTTTTTGTCCTGTAATAAACGATGTCCTCTGTTTTACAATACTGAAATCCTCTTAATGTTTTAGGTGAAAAAGCAGAATGCTAATTTGTTTAATTACATGGTGTTCCTTCGGATCACACCTTTCCTTCCGAATTGGTTCATCAATATAGTTGCGCCTGTCATAGATGTACCCATCAAGCCATTTTGGCTTGGCACATTTTTTGGTAAGTCATCCATTACAATAATCTAATGCAGTTAGATACCAGCCTCATTTACCTTCAGTCATATTTTTTTTGCAGGAGTTGCTCCTCCTTCTTTTGTTGCAATTCAAACTGGGCAGACTCTTCATCAGCTGTCCTCATCAGATGCCAAATTCTCATGGAATTCTGTCATTTTATTAGCTTTATTTGCTGTTGTATCCCTGATTCCAGTTCTTGCCAAGCAGAGACTGCGCAGAAAGTTTGAATAGGTTGCATGGTTTTAAATAATAACATAACCTTGCTAATGAAAATTATCAGTTCATTGGCTGCCATCTCTAGTTCTTTTATAGTGTGTGACATTTCCAATTCTGTGATACGATTGAACACCATATAAGAGATGTAGCTTAAATGTGAATCCCCTTTCCCACCCTCCCTATTCCTCCTCCCTTTTGTTTTGGTCCTTTTTTCTTCATTTGGAGTAAAACCTAATGATGTTGGAAATATTTGTATGCAAAATATTTCTTTGCAGTACCTTAGCAAACCATTTTCCATGAATTAGGAATATTACAAACTCTTCAAATAACTGAACTGCCAATTTAAAAAAATGTTTTGGCTGTGTATACATAAAGCAAATGATGTTTTGATGCTTTGTTTTAGCATCCTATTGTGAATGGCATTGTTCTAGTCTTCTCATGTCATCATCCACTTTGCATTTAATTTGAGTGTTTAAGAAATATCTTTTCCCTAATTTGTAATATAATTTTAATGTCAAATGTTACCTTATTAGCTCAAAGTTTGCCAATTCTTATCTTTCATCTGTTCTCCATTTTTCATTGAAATAGTAGCCGTAACGCAGAAGGGAACCGCCTCAAGTGTCACTCTCACAATTTGAAGCGGGTAAGGTTTGTCAGCTTTTAAGATTTTAGTTATTTTTTTTTTTAAGTGTTGGTAATTTTGGACAACATACCATGTGAATACGCCCATTCAATGTGAAACCATATCTATTCATTCTTGATCTCTTTTGTCTGTGTCTTGTAATAAATGTATAGCAATTGACTGAATACTGTATTTATTAGTTTACAAAAATTTTTAGGAAACAAGGTACCAACTTTCACAAACTTACATCATTTGGTTTTAACAACCTCGAAGTAACTTGAGATGCTTACAGAGCTGACTATGGTTATTTCATCTCCGATATCCACAATGCAAGCATGAAAGGTAAGATTTATCTGTCTGAACTATTTTGATTGATGCTAAACTAAGATTATTGAAGTCTTAGATGAATTTTATCATATAAATGTATGAAGATCTGTATTTCTATTCTTCTTAGGTGATTCCCATCAAAAGAAGAAAAGTAAGAGTCCTTTGGTCTTATAAGACGGGATGAAAATGGGACTCCATATTTCAAAGGACAAATTGAATTTGGAATTTGGAGATTGATGAAGATGATCTGTCCCTACCGAGGGCAAACTGTCAGAGTTGGACTACAATGCTTGGATCGTTTTACATTGTGAGTACAATTTCATATGGAGAGGGGTTACAATTTTACTTAATATGACAATATTCATTTACATCAAGTCTAAGACTTATATTTGTGTTTATTCATTCAGCTTTGAACTAATCTCTACCATTATGGTTCTTGGAAATTTCTCCTTGTTTTGATTTTGAGTTGTCATAAAGATACTTACTTTTCTTAAATAGCTCAGGCTTAGGTCCACTCTGTTGCCCATTTTCAATATATATTGATGGAGGGTACATTGTGGAGGGTACATTTATAATATATTGTTTAAAAGAATTTGTAATTAAATTAGGATCAGAAAAGGGTCTTTTCTGAACTGAGAGGATTATCCTCACTCACAGGAGTTAACATGGCACGTCAATGTTATGCAACTACCTGAAAGTGTACAGAGTCCAGAGGGGAGTTGGTGTCACTGTTATACATATGGACCAAAATTCTGTTTTTACCCTGTTGCAGGAAGACTGCCCAATAGTTGCATCACCTGATATACTGAGTTGGCCTCACAGCATGAGAAATGGCCCCTTTACCCCATGACCACAGGAATTAATCTGGTAAGTTTTGACTTTTATTATAACATTAACAGAAAATATCATTACATTATGGTATAGCCATGTTTGGTAAAAGTTTATTTTTGTATTGTTTCTATTTCGGCTTTACTTGTAATTTCTTAACTGCTTTGAACTGCTATGCCGACTCCATATATACAGCTAATTACTTGATCCTAAAATATGCAGTCGTGAGTTATTGATTTTAGTGGAGGGAAGTGGAGGCAAATCATCATAGTGTCATTTACAGTAATGCTGCTTATTTTATTTGAATGATACAGTCTTAGTAAAATGGGAGGTGATGCTTGTGCTTGTCCAAAGAGATGCCTGGACTTGAATGCTGGCCACCTGTAAAATAGAAGTTTTACTTTATTTATTTTCATGAAATCTTACAAATATTAATTGTGATGTGTTTATGTTCATATCTCCTCAGGCGGCGTGCACAAATTACGTAATCGTTTTTTGGGAGGAAACCCCCTCACCCCCCTCTCTGTCATTGTGTGTCACTCTCTCCTCT